TGGCAGTTACCGAGGACAGAACTTTTAATAATATCACAGTTTCTGGCTTTGAGAAAGACTCCATTGATCTACCGGATATCAATTTCTATTACAATTCTGCTATGTAAGTATTATAGTTTTAACAAATTAACAATAGTGTCATTCAGCTGATCTTTTGTCATTTTAAATATTGTAAGTTTTAAATTATTTTGGACTCTTAAATGGATGTGATAGTGAACTGTAGAACACTATTGAAACTGCAATTTATTTTGACGTTCTTTGTGTATAATTATGATTACATACACAGTATACCTCATTGATTTCCATTGTAATTCGTTTCACTAAATCACCCTTCCACCATTTTAAAATATATATTCTTAACAAAGTAAACTACAGTGCCACATACACTGCTTGGGATACAAATGAAACCAATTTCAACACTTTAAATTTTAAAGTTTTATTTTACTGATTTCAAAGAGAAATTGCATGACTTTAAAATAAGGAAACTAATTTTGCCAGAGAGGGCATAAATTACTTTGAACTTGGATTGTCACCAAAAAAGGGTTAGTTAGTTTTCAGTCTCACATGATCACAAAAACAATATTTGTTTAAATTTGTTTTTATTTACTGATTTAAATGATGTGAACTTTGTGTAATTTCTGCCAGAGAGGGCGTACTTTCCTAATTCCTCATCCTACCAAATCCTTAAATTCTCTATAGGGATGGCACACTTAAGCTTAAAGTTAAAATGTCACAAAAAAGGGGTTGTTACTATTTGTTCTCATGCGCACATGATCACAAAAAAACGGAATTTGTTTTAGCATCTCATGTGACCATTCTATATATTTGTCAGGATGCTAGGGCCATTTTGATTTGCAATAAGGTAAATGCCATTCTCACCTAGTTTCTTTTTAATAGTTCAACTACAGCTTGCCCAAATGGACGTTCCTCTGTCATCAGTTTGCGCTGCGACATCACAGCACCCGACAATGGTGTGGTTGAGCTACCTACTGGCTGTCCCGATGGTACTTGTGATGGATGCACGTTTCATTTCTTGTGGAGGTCTCATCTTGCCTGCCCTCTGTGTACGGAGAATGATTTTAAATCCATCGAAGAGAACTGCAAAGGAGGAATCCAAACTATTCACTATGTTTGGAAGAATCAACCAAAGTAAGTATAACTCTGGAAATATTATACTTGTAGATGGTTAATTGGCGGATATTAAATTAGGCACTGAATGAGAATGAAAACTCCAGATTGAATAGTAATATGGTTTCTTTGAAGCTCTGCATGGGAAACCTCTTAAAAAACAGCAAAGCCCACTCTCAAAATGCCTGACGGACTGGATTGATACATTGTATAGCCGATCTGTGTGTTGATGAATATTAAATGCCATTATTTCCTTTATTTAGAATTAAATTCTAATCAAAATCATGATTTTTTGTAGGAATTGTCGTGATGGTGCCTCCTTACCGGATAAAGTTAACAAGAAGTGTCCCATGCTGACATTTGAAGCTCAAATTGCTATCACTGTTGCCGTAGGATGTGCCGCTTTACTGATTGCTCTCATTGTTTACTTCTGGAAGAAAACCAGGAAGTAAGTTATTTGTAATTAATATGACTTGTCTTTTTTTATAAGGAAAGTGTGAGAGACTAAGTGGTTTGCAACAGGAAATTTTGTATATGAACATGAACCTAAATATTTAGACTGGCTAGGAACAGGTGCCAGGGACAGCCCTAATTTTAATCCCCAACAACGATAGCTGGGTATGTGACAGGAGTCCATTTGTCCGCCAAAAAATAAAGTCATTGATCATTATAGGGATTGAAAACCAAATTTAACACGAAAAGATCGCAGCCCGGTTAGAAGATGCTGAAATATAAAAAAAAAAGCCTCACAACTGAAAAGAAAGTTGAGACTTGTGTGGGTGGATTTTAATGCGATAGTTGACAACAACAATCATTGTAGCCAAAAGAAAATGTCATTGTCCCATGTAAATAAAGAAATCTGAAAAATATAATGGATAATCACGTTGCTTTTAAATACTGAAATGAATAGGGGAAAAAGGTTATCAGTCGGCAATGTGTTAAAACAGGGAAGTCGTCACCTGCGCTTGCGTCAGATGGCCATAGCCTGTCATTGTTTACAAACAAGCGTATACCCATGAGCCTTTGCGTTTTTAGCGTGTGTTGTTATCGTCGCTTGGAACTCAATTCGCGTGTGTGAGCAGGTGATGACCCTCTCGCTTTAAGTCACGCCAAAGAAGTGTGTTATAATCACAATAAATACCAAACTCTGTGCCATGTATCACATGAATTTTTAGGTGATTTCATTTATTTGTATTAACGACTATTTTCTTTTGTGTTTAAAAGTTTGCTGACTATCAGAAATTTATGACAGAAAAAGAAAAATTTGCTCCATGTTTATATTAGTCATTATAAATGTATTGTAAATTGAATTACACATAAATGCATGCATGTTTTATGATTATTATGTTGAATGAAGTATTCATCCTGTGGTGTTACAGACACGATAGATGTGTGGGGGCGCTCTTCAATATGGCAGGGTGTGTACTGGTAATAGCTGGAGTCCTTTTTTCCATGTTTATGATATGCTATGTCTAACTGATTACAGACTGGAATATAAATATCAGCGATTGGTTCAGTCATCAAGTGGCAAAGATGGAGAGCTACCCACTGTGGATTCATGTGCAGTTGATGAAGGAGATGAAGATGAAGTCATATTCAATGATGGCCAAAGGAAATCTGGTGGATTATTCAGTAAATTTAAATCAGCAGTCAGTAGTAAGGTAAATAAATCTAAGCTTACAATGTCTTTCATTTTGTGGTGTGTTGGAGGGTATTGTAGTTATAAAAACTTGGTTGATTCAAACACAATGCATTCACACAACACAAATAATATAGGCATACTAATAGAAAAGTATTTCATAACTTCTGTATGCGTAGCACATCGGGGGGGACCTTAGAGGGTTACCCTGTCTGTGTGTAAGTATGTTTGTCTGTCTGTCTGTTCAGCTGATATCATAAGAACCACTCCTATGATTTCAATGACAGGGATGAGACACATACATGATTAGGGTTGAAATTGGATTACAGTATATGTAATTACCTAATTTGCATCAATTAGCCACTTTATAGATGTTCTACAGGTATCTCCAGTACCACTCGTATATTTTAAATGAAACTTGGTACATGTGTGCTCTCGGATAATCCCCAGACTTGATTACTTTAAGGTTGAAATCCATGAATATTAGTTATGTAATTTGCATAAATTGAGCAATTTTCTCAAGTATCTACTATCAGATATGAATTGAAATTGTTACATAGGTGCTTTAGAATAAACCACAACTGTACAATCAGGTTAATCTTTAATTGTTTGTTCTTCATGACCCCAAATACCTCTCAGTACACACGAATTCTTTCTAAGGTTTCTTTAATTTCAGTATTGTGAGTAATTTAAGTAACTTGTATTACTGTTTAGTAATAAATCTGTTTTTACATTGGGATTAAAATATATCAAAACATAGAATATTTAATTTCCCAGATAAGAAGCATAATTCATTGAAAAGAAAATGTAGATGTACCATATTCATTTCAAGTTTGGGAGTTTTATCAAAGACTACTTTGTGGGACAACACATTACAGTCTGTATGCTTAATGTAAGGAAATGAAACAGTCACACAAATTAATCAGAAATAATTATCACATGCACAAGTCAAGTTTTTTTCCTTTGAACAGAAAATATGTTATTAATTTTACGGTTATTAGTTGTGTTTACCTTTGTGGTGACAGCAAACATTTGATTACAAAATATTTGTTAATATAAATGGCATCCCAGTAAGTCATTGTTTAACTGAATAACTGCATTACATCCTTGGTAGCACATTTTATTGACAATGTAACTGTCAACGAAACAGTAATATTGAAATATGAAATGCCACTTTCATATCAATTCTAACTACAGTTACATGTAGAAACACTGCAATATATGCTTTCCAAAAGTATACAACAATAGCATGACTCATCCACGGATTTTAGATCACGAGAGAATTAAAAAAAAAAAAACTATAAAAAAGAAATTGATTAATAAGAAATTATCATGCCCACAATCTTTATGTCCTTGTAACTCCGTATTTAAAAATGACTGTAAATTAGAGTGGACAGCTCAATTCACTTTGTGTAATTTTTAAAAAGAAATGTTAACAGTATTGTAGTCAGAACACAATGATTGATTGTGTGTACAATTCATAGTGACGTGTACAATAGTGAAAACATTTAGACTCAAGGTAAATTATTGCAAAGGTGACCTTAATTAATGCAAACATTTTAAATCTTGTATATTCTTTTGGAAACAAATTTAATTGAAGCAAGAGAACATTTCTAATTGCTGTATGTGATTTTTAACCACGTTTTCTGCCTCCCATTGTCTTACCTCGTACTAGCGTTGGGGAGGGTATTGCTACTACTATGGAACAACGTATTCCAAAAGGGTACAGGATTAAGAAAACTTTGAGATTTATGTCGGCTGTTACCATGGTTACACACCATCATCAACACACCACTGCTTATTAACCTAAATATATTAATTACTAATTGCAGTAATTATAATCATTAACTATAACTATCCATGTCTGTTTCATACCATCCGTTTTGCAGGATTCAGGCTTTCAGAAAAAGACATTAAAAGAACTTGAAGAAGATGATCCATTGGCCATGTTTGAATAATCATTAAGAGTAATTAACCACCATCACTATTTTATTGTAATTCATATAGTATAATATGAACAACAGCATCCATATGCACTGTACCTCATCCTTGCTAATGTTATCATAGGAAACATTTCATTAACTTTGATGCTTTAAAGATACACTAGCTGTAACGACCTAGTTGTTTGTATTGCAAACGTGTTCTACATGAATAGCATTTATTTCCATTCTATTAGCTGAAACTAGTTCAATTATTTGGTACCGGGCCCTTCTGTATGCTTTATAAGCTCGCTAAAAGCACTGAATCAACATCGTGAAGTGTTTATTGTACGTACCCTAAGCTCCGTTTGTTAAACCATCATACGTCATTACTGATTGTTTGCGCATGCGCAATTCCGAAATGCTCCGTTGTGTCGTCACCGGAAGCGCTGTCCCAGCACAAACCTGTGTCATATGACGCCTTACTAAACGATTTTGGCTAAAAATCCGCTCCGCCGCCTCTTTACAACAGTGTTTATATGCGGATATTGCTTTTTACAATTTGGGTTGCCTTTGAAGCACATATTTTAGTGAAATATTGTTTATAGAGTGAAATATTATTGTCATACATAATTCAATCTTTGAAACAACAGAAACTAACACATAATAACGATAATCAAATTTGTGTTTGAAGTTCGAAAGTAGTTGCGTTATTTCCGGTTTCAACTAGTTCGAAAATAGAACGTCCTTGAGCACAATAAAATCACGCGTAGAACTCCATCCGAACCAGCGTAAACTTATTGCAATTTGCGCGATTTGGGCCCAGTTTGTTCTTACAAGCTTTCTAAGTTTCACTTATCATTATTTAGTAAACAGGTCTCTGAAACGATTTAATATATCCGTAAAATACGTGGCAATCAACAATTGACTTCGAAACGTTCGAAATTTCGAACAAACTCCCGGCACACCAAGCGTGATATGCGTCAGATCGGTGTAGAAGACGCCAAACTGCAGCGTCAATGATTGTTGGAGTTCTTCATCTCGTGATCAGTCAGGCCACCTAGAAATATGGCGTTGAGTTCGATCGTGAGCATTTTCTCCGCATTCGTATCCACACAGAGATCGATGTAAATTTTATTATAACAGGAGATAAGCAATTTCAAAGATAAATGCAACAAGTTTTCAACCCAAAATAGTTATTTAGAACGCCGTTAGAGACGTTTTCATTACAGCTACTGGGCCTTTAAGTGTCTAAAATTAATGAAATGATAAAAAAAAATCATGTCTGCATTGCACACCATAAATTTGTTGAGTTTTTAAGATTCAACTGTTGATATGTGGCTGCATGTTACATAGCTCTATAATCATTATATACACAACATTGCAACAGCTTGTGATAATACTCTTTTGTTTTGTTTATGACACTGATGAATATTGAACATCTCTGCTGATGTTGAACAATAAGTAAAAATATCATGGGGGTTTTATATACATGCATGCAAAGAATTGTATATATTCTATACCGTTTTAGTTTTATCACAATAATGGGGATATTGACACAGTACATTGGTTGAAATCTATGTATGTTTTGTTAACTCTCTTTTCATTAATGCACTCCATCTTGCATGCCAGTCCATGTATTTTCCTTCTTGCTTGTTTCTGCATTAACCAAGACAATCTAACCAATTTTTTGACTGATTGATTGAAAATAATTGCATGTATTTGACATTATTGTCCTCGTTTCTTGTATTCTCTGCTCATTAGACCATATGGAAACTCAGACAACATTCGACTGTTGATCACTATAATATCACTATAATATGTGCATGCGAATATTGATGCCCTATTCTACATATAATGATATTTTTATTGCTAGTTTATGGTACAGTGATTCACACATGACATAGACTCTTACTATGTTTATTTTTGTATTATTTGTAGAGTGAAAATGACAAAGATCTTGGTGATGGTGTTGATCCATATAGTGATAGCTTACAGCTTGTCGTCAAGTCTATGGATAGTAGTAACATTTGATATTATTGTAGAAAAGTGCATTTTGAAGTTTTCAAATAATAATTTTAACTTTTTTGTCACCAGACTTTTTTTGCCCAAATTTTTCTGCTCTTTTTCTTGTACTCTTCCATATATCTGGAAATGAACCTTAATTTTGGAGTCCTCAAGAC